GACCGACGTTCTTGCGACATCAGAGCTTCAGGGGGCGATTTCCTCTCGCGGAGCAGAGACAGGGAAAGGACCCGCCTGGGGAGGGAAGGAGAAGGGGTGCTGGTGGGAGCCCAGATAGTTCAAGGCCGAGACGGTCTCCCCCAGGTGCTGGAGAGGGGTTGGGACACTGAGGCCGGTCCCATGAGCTGGGGAAACGGGGACAGGCAAACCCCATCCGTCCCCTGCCAGCGTCACCCCAGGCCCAGCCCTGCGCCCGCCCCACGCCCCCGTGGGTTAGCGGGGATCCCCCACCCTGTGCTTTAATGCACCGACCCCACGGGAAGAGGTGAAAACCAGCCCCGAAACGTGAGCCGGCCGGGCTCCTCCGCTGCCGCTCGCGAAGCCAGCGGCGCAGCTTCCCCCAGGGCTGAGCAGCATTCCCCGGCGTGCCTGGGAGATGGATGCTCCGGCCTTGTGAAAGCAAGGAGAAGCCATTGCGCTCTGCAGGCAGCCCGGCGCTTTCTTACCGCACTGCCCCCGTGAAGAAAATCCCTGCGGAAATGTAGGGATTAATGGGCTTTAATAGAGGCATTAATGGGGAGGACTCTCCGGCTTTGCCGGTAGCGGAGCTGCGAGTGTCCTGGCTCCCAGCAGAGGGGAGCGGGAGAAGTCCCCGGGGGGAGTGTGATGCGCTCGTTCTCCTGAGCTGCCCCGTCCCCAGGGGACACGGGGCGGGGGAGTGGGGCAATAATCCAGACACCCCACCAGGCCAGGCGAAAGGCGTGCATGGGCTGAGGCCGTGCGGTTCAGCCGAGGCGATGCCCTGTAGCGAGACGGCCGCGTCTTTCCCTTCCCTTTTATCTCCATCCTCACCGGCCGGCTTTTCTTCTGACTCCCTGCCCGCCGCAGCAGGTGCTCATCTCCCTGCTCCCCGCTTTCCACCTACTTCTGCCACGATCCGGAGTTCCTCCCCCCCTTTTCCTTCCCTCTTTTCCTCCCTTCTTCCCCCTCCCCCCCAAGGGAAAATTCTTCTTCCCATATCCTCTGGCTGCCCTCTCCCTTGTAGGGACAGATAGGCCGAGGATGCGCACAGGGGGATGCAGCCAGGGGGCCAGGATTTTAATAAACCTTGTTATTTCGTGTGTGTGCCCCCCCGCCGTGCACCTTTTGGGGCTATTGGCAGCAGGGGGTGGGGGTGGTGTCATTAAAAACCACCCAGAGGTGGGAAAACCCACCCCCTCCCAGGCGGGCGCAAGATTTCCATCCCTTTCCCCAGCCACCCCGTCATTAAAACACCCAGAGGTGGGAAAACCCACCCCCTCCCAGGCGGGCGCAAGATTTCCATCCCTTTCCCCACACCCCCGGCCAAACTTGGGGGGGAGGGGGGTGTCCCCGACCCAGAGGGGGGCCCTGGTGCCC